CCCCCCCCTTCCCCTCCCTCAGTCTCTCTAAGCATGTCCTCAGGTGAGGATTTAAAAAAAGATTATCCATGCACTGCTGGTAGGAGTGTAAAATGGTACAAGCCACTCTGGACAGCAGTTTGGCAGTTTCTTGTAAAACTAGACACGTAGTGGCGCATTATTTCCAGAGAAATGGAAACATGTTGATACGAAACCTGTGCACAAATGTTCTTAGCAGCCTTATTTGTAATAGCCAAAGAATGGACATGACCCAGAAGTCCTTCAGAGGCTGAACAGTTAGACCGTGGGCCATCCAAACCATGGAATATTACTCAGCAGTGAAAAGGAACCGGCTATTAATACACACACTTGAATGAGTAAGTCTCCAGGGCATTATGCCGAGTGAAAAAAGCCATTCTCAGAAGGTTACTGTGTGAGTCTGTTTATGACACATTCTTGAAATGACAAAAAATTAGAAAAATGGGAAACAGATCGGTGGATGTCTGGTATCAGAGACAAGGGGAGGAGTCGGAAGGAAGGTGGATGTGGTTACAGAAGAGTAACATGGGAGATGTTGTGATAATGACGGTGGTGGCGGGTATGTGAAGCTCTATATGTGATAAAGTTGCATAGGACTAAGTACATACACACACACAAGAATACAAGTGAAAAAAACGGAGGAAATCTGAACAAGATGCGTAGATGCTGTCCATTTCCTGACATTGTACTGTTTTTGCAAGGTGTTACCATTGGAGGAAACTTGGGTAAAGGACAGTCAGGATCTCTCTATTATTTCTTACAACTGTTTGTGAATCTATAATAATCTCAAACTAAAAGTTTAATTTAAAAAAATGAGGCAGGAATCTGAGCCAGGTGGTCAGAATGCATCTTGTCCACGTTCTGGGAGTCGATGCTACTAAAGTGTGTTAGAAGTGGGAAACCGTCCTGTTCCATCCTTCTGATAGTTCATCCAGTGCTCACGTTGCCTGCAGAGCAGAAAGAGGGCTGGGAGTGTGAACAGAGCACCGCACAGCTAGAAATGGCACAGTGGGGTGGATCTGGGTGGTCCTTCCTTCTTCCTAAGATTTGATAATGTGTCTCTGAACCCCAGGATCCAGAACGTAGCACAGCAGAAGAATTGTTCAAAGAGAGAGCAGAGAACAGAAACGGGTTAGGTTCAAAGCACTGCCTGTCTGGGCCCGGGGCTATATTTGGAGGCTGGGTTGAGTTTGGGACATTGCCACATGTAAGGACCATTGTCAGGCCTGCTGGAAACAGGCCTGGGAGCCAGGTTATGGGCAAGCTGCTTCCCTGGTGACACTAACTCAGAGCTAGGGCTTGATCTTCAGTCTCGTGGCAGGTGACATGTGGGGACTAAGACTGACTCCTGGCTGTTTGGTTCTTTGGGGGAAGGTTTTCTATCCTGAGTGTGTGCTGGAATTTGCTGGAATTGTGGAATCAGGAGGTGTTGGTGCATGATGGCTTTCCTCTCTTTGAAGTTGTAGGACAGTCACATCTGGACAGCAACATCGAGGATCAAGAGATTGTCACCAATCCGCCAGATATTTGCCAAGTGGTAGAGGTGACCACCGAGAGTGATGAGCAGCCAGTCAGCATGAGCGAGCTGTACCCTCTGCAGATTTCCCCCGTGTCTTCCTACGCAGGTAAGGGGGTGGGAGGGGAGCTCTGGCACTGAGCGAGGAGCAGGGGAGGGAGTCCTTTAGTCCAGGGCTAAGTCTCTACACAGCAAAGAGCCTCCCCTCTCTCCCGGGAATTGTTTTTGGGTTCACTTTCTTGACCAGCATGTCTTGGACACTTTTGCTCTCAGAGGACATGGTCACAGGCTGTCTCTACTTGATCACCCACAACATTTCCATGCATGACTAACACATAACAAGATTTCTTTGGAAAAATAGTTCATCTGAGTCTATTTTATTTGCACAAATTCTCAGAAATTCAGGCGGCTATTTGCAGTGGAATCTGAGTTTGACCAAGCTGATAGGACCTTAGGGATCATTTTCTCCAGTTCCTTCATCTTTGGCAGTGAAGATACTTGTTCCTGGTCACAGGGTCAGTCAGTGTTTGGGTCAGGACTTGACCCCAACCTTCAGACCTTCAGCCCCATTCCATCCCCCCAGGTTTGGAACCTGTGACTCCCACATACATTCCTCTTCTTTTTCTGTTGAGTGCAGCTTCTGATGGGGCCAGGTAACAGCCCACTTCTGATTCCCCAGGGAATGAATGGCCGCGTTGATGCAGGAACTGGCCCAGACAGCCATGGGATTAGAGCCCGACCCAGGTGGTTCTTCCATTTTTACAAAATAGCAATGGGTCCTTTTCTTGACCACCATTACATCAGCTTATACTCTTTTCCCAATGATCTCCATTTAATTTGGGGGGGACTTGATTATAATTAGGAAATTTAAATTCTGAGTCAATGTTATTGCTTGTGAACATTAAAAATATGAAGCAAAGGCCCTGTTATGGGTAACTATAGTCGGCTCTAGTAAATGGTCAGGAATTCTTCTCAGTGTCCTTTCATAGGCTGCCAAACTGAGTGTCCTTCCATTAGGGGGCCGCCCCAGTGACAGGTTGTTTGTGAGTTATCAGTCACTACATAACCTGAACCCCAACTTTCTTTTTAACTGACTTTTAAAAAGTTGTGGTAAAATATACATAAAATAAAATTGACCCATTTTGCTGTTTCAGCGGCATTAGTGCGTCCACCACCACCCACCTCCAGAACTTTTCATCTCGCAAAACTGAGACCCCATTAAACTCTAATTATCTCTTCCCCCCACCCCCAGTGTCTGTCAGCCTCCATTGTGCTTTCTGTGAATTTGGCTACTCTAGGCACCTCAGCTAAGTAGAATCAGCCAGTATGTCCTTTTGTGCCTGGCTTATTTCAGGTGGCGCAGTGTCCTCAGGGTCCTATCTTTTGTGCCAGGAACACTAAAGCAGTGCGAGTGCCATCTTGGCCACAGGAAGCTTATAATCTGTCAAGCAGGATGAGCTTGTCATAGTTACTTAATCATCAAGCATATTTTGATCTCCTATGTGTAAGTCCCTCGTTGGGGTTTGCCAGTCCCAGTATTAACAGCCATGATTTCTTGTATATTTATTGTGCCCTGGGAACTGTGTGGATGCTTGGCACCCATCGACTTAGTGATCATGAGAGTAATCCGTCTGCCTGGGTACCATCATGATTCCCTCTTTGAAATCAGGAATCCAGGGCCCATATGAGAAAGCAGTGTGGCCAGGGGTGAATAACAGGTGGCACATGGAGCTTATGCCAGAGGCTTGCTCTTAGCCCTTCCACCCAAATGGTGCCTGGAACAGCCATGAGGGGCTTCGCCCTTAGGACACACCTGCATCTTGTGACCTCAGAGACCCAGCGAAGGAGGCCGAGCTGAAAGTTCCTGCCTCAGTTTCACAGTAGAGATAACTGAAGCCTGAAACACGGAAGGGCTCTGCTCATGTTTACATGGCTGTGGCTAAAGTGTGCAGCTGCTGGATCGTGCTGCATTATTACTCCCCATGCGGTTTTTTTTTAAAGGGTTGGCACTTTAGAATAAACTTCTCTGTTTATGTGCCGAGTAAGGCTTTTCCGAGGTCTTCTCAGGGATTCTGGAAAGACCTCCTCCTGCTGATCTGCGGGCTGTGGCATCTTGCTTTAGCAGGAGAATCCTGAGAACAGCAGGGAGAAATGGAGATTGCATTCCCTGTCTCAGGACATTTGCATAGACTTGAATAGGAGGACTTCAGTGCCAGGCGGGCAGCGAGGGGGTTTTGTGGGAGTCTGGCCTTTAGTTCTTGCCATTGTTTTCATTGTCTGGATTCTCCAAAGTCCTTCGGAGGGAGGCTTATTGGTTGGAGCCAAAATGTTCCATCATTGCTACTTTTCTAGAGCTACAGACACCTAAGAAACGTACTCGTTACTGACCATGGCTGGTTAAAGTCTTATTTAGTCCGGGACTTAGAGCGTGCTGCTGGGAAAGGCAGTTTCTTTGGCTGTATTCACCTCTCTACCTTTATGTTCCCCAGTGGGATTGGCTGTTTGCCTGTTTCCACGACAGGGTGTTTGTGTTGGTTTCAATTATTCAACTGAATTTCAACCTCCTCTAACCACTTCCATTCATTTGTTCAGGAAACTGGTATTTGGAGGCTGTTGCCAGCTGTTTTCCCCCCTCCCTATCACTGAAATATAATCCCAGCACGATCATAAAGACCACATTCGGTTTTGCAGGTCTGTCTTCTCTCTGGTCTAAATAGGTTGGTAAGCAAGAAAAGAGACGGTTTCTTTGAGCGGAAGTACTTGTGTTGGGTGTTTTAAGGCAGCAGAAAGTTGGTGTTGGATTCGTAAAACTTCCATCCTGGGGAATGATGTCCCAAAGCCAGACCTTGGGAACCATAGCAAGATGCTATTAGGTTGTTGATAGTGTCATAAAAGAAAGCCACAAGGGTGTTTTGCAGCAGGTGGGATGTAAGGGTGGAGACCAGCTGGAGAAGAAGGCATGATACGAAGGACTTAACTGGTTATAGGCATGATACGAAGGACTTAACCAGTTATAGGCATGATACGAAGGACTAACTGTTTATACCAAGAGAACAGAGGTTGCCCACTGGCCAACACCTGCGGTAGAGATTTGGGTCTTAATGGAAACCACTGCATTCTGTTGGGAGGGACAGAGATAAAGATTCTTTGAGATGAAGACAATTCCAAATCGAACAAAGCCTTTTAATGGAGCCTTCTAGTGAAAGTTAATTGAGCAAATGATAGAGGGAAAGAAATCCTCGTCAACCTTCATAAAACTTGTTGAAAAAGAACCTTCCAGAAAATGTCCCAGGATGTCAGAGCGTGGAAAGGTTTTATTGTAAAACATACTGTGCCCCATGACCCCCAATAATGTTCCTGAGATGGCTAGTGAAAACTGGGCTGAAGTGCAGTGGGAACCTAAGAGGAGTGCCTTCCTCGAACTGCGGCTCTGGAGGAAGCATCTTTGAGATTATCTAACCCAAACCTCCCCTTCCCTCTCACCGAAGTAGCTTTCAGGGAAACTGGGACCAGAAAAATGAAATGAATTACCTGTGTACCTGTTATTACTCTCAGAACTTATTCAGACCATGCTGGGGAAGCAACTCTCAATTTTTTTCCTATTGTATTCAAGGTAAATAAAAAACCAAATCTAAAGTAATCGAAAGAGAAAATGAAATAACTCGTGTTGATGTTTTGGTGGTAACACTGATCTGGAAGCAGCAGCTGCAGGGAGCTCGTTTGTGGGATTAGAGTGGATCTTGAAAGTGGCAATAATGGTGGAGTAAAACCAAGAACATGGCATGAGCACCCCCAGCAAAGCACTTTGGGCCAGTGGTTCAAAGGTGGCCGTGAGAACCACTGTTACCTAGAGAGAAGGGTCCTGGGTCCTCAGGCTGGTGCTTTAAGCAGCTCCTGCTCTTAGGCTGAAGGCACTCCAGGCCATTCTTTTAAGCAGTCACATCGGAAATCTCCGTTTGCCAACATGGAGAATCTTCATACTACTCCAGGAGCATTGATCTCAATTTAGAAACATGCTCTCAGCTCACATTTGGGTCAGCGAAAACAGGAGTTCAGAACATGTGTGTCTCTTCTGGTCTCCATCTGTTTCCCTGAAGTTGAAAACTGGGTACCTAGAGGCAGTTGACGTTCTGATCATGTTCGTGGTCTGCTTAATGGGAGGGTGGTAGGCGCTGCTCCTAATGTAGAATCCGAGTGAAGGCTGAAGGAGTCCTCCGTGCACGGCACCGGCCCGGCCCTGGCTCGGGCACTCTGTGAGTGTTCACTGTCGCTCTACAGGCCTTGTCTACAGAATGAATGACCCAGCCTTCGGCGTCTCTAAGGGTCTGTGTCGTTCAGAAGTTCTACCCTTTGTACTTTGATTTCTGACAGCTGTGAACACTGAACAACTGCACACAATCAATTTTTTTACTTATAATTTAAAAAATTTTTTTACTTAAAAAGTAAAATTTTTTACTTAAAAAAATGAAAACCTTTTTACTTTAAAAAATCTTGTATTCTAAGTACAGGTGACTTATAATCACTAGCTGTTGACTTTGACTGTTAACCTAGCATGTGCAAATCAAGTGCTGACTGAGGCTGAGAGCTCAGTTCAAGGGCGCAGTCACCTTGACCGAGTCCGAGTGCGTGCCCCGTGCCAGGCCCCGCCCGGGCCTGGTCTCGCACCTCCCTCGCTCATCACACAACCGTCTTTGTAAGGAGCTACCTCCTGTTTGGCAGACAAGGAAATGGCAGCTCAGTGCAGTGGCTCGCAGCTGGCAGCTGAATCAAGATGGGAGCAGAATTCGTTATCTATGGCTGTGTAACAGTCTAACCACACACTCCGTGGCTTCAAACAGCACGTGGTATTATCCGCCGCTTCTGAGGATCAGGGGCGCAGGCCTGGCTGAGCTCAGGGTATCTCAGCACAGACCTGCAGTCCAGGTGGGTCCAGGGCTGCTGTCCCATCTGAGCATCGAGAGGGGGGGTCTGCGTCCCAGCTCACACAGTGTGGGGTACAGTAAACATAGCTCCTTGCAGGTGTCACTCTAGGGCCTCAGTTTCTGGCTGCCTGTTGGAGGGAAGCAGTCCTTATCAAAGCAGTCTTTGTCATATGAACCTTCCCAGCATGGCTGCTCGCTTCCTCGAAGCCAGTGACGGAAGGAATCTCCTCAAAACCAAGGTCTCAGTCTCCCGTTACCTAATCACACTCAACCATCACCTTCGCTGTTGTCTGTTGGTTTAAAGCAAGTCACAGGTGTCCCCACACTCCCAAGGAGGGAATCCCACATGAAGGTCAACACCAGGATAAGGGTCGTCGCAGCCACCCTGGAATCTGCTCCCCTCCACACAGTGACCTGCGTGGAAGATACAACGTACAAGCCTAAGATATCAGTACCAAGGGGGAGTGATGTCAAGGAGGGATCTGAGTGAATGGGGTGATGTAGGAAGGCCCTGCGTTGGGACATAGTGAACGAATTGATGTGAACCAGAGGAGTGGACCAGTGTGGGCCATTGTGGAGAGAGCAGTGGTGAGGACCAGGCCTGGTGGGGAGGCGGGAGCAGCCGGGGGCATGGGGAGCAGAAAGCAGTGACCAGCACCCCATCCTGGGAAGTGGTGGCTGTGAACAAACAGCCTGGTCCATGGAGTGTGAGCCACTCCTCGGCTCTTAGACCCATCTCTGAAGGGCCACCATCACTCTCGCGTCCCCCAGGTATAAGTGTTTGACCTTAGGAAGGGGTCTAAGATTGTGAGGTCAGTTACCCATTTCTCTTCTGGAAAAAGATGTGCTGATACATTTTCTAAACACTATCTGAGCCTCGAAACTGTGTATGTGGCAGGAATGACACCCTGTGTTTTTCTCTCGTGAACAGAAAGCGAAACCACGGACAGCGTGCCCAGTGATGAGGAGGGCACCGAGGTAAGTAAGCGGGCCCCGCCCCACGCTCCTACCTACCTTTCTTTTCTTCTGATCATGAGTTTTACTTTTGGATCTTTTTTTTTTTTTTGTGGTTAGGTATATGGAACATAAAATTTGCCGTACTTTGGGGTTTTGAATTATAAAATCAAGCTTTGGGAACTGACAGTACCATTAGAGAGAGAGGCTATGAGGGCAGGAAAAGGAAACTGAAGTCCAGGCCAGGAAACTCTGATGTTTTTACCACTGTAAACAGCCTAATTCACAGGCAGAAATAGAATGTCCCAGTGACCAAAAGCAATGGCCAGAGGTCGAGGTCAGAAAGTGCTAAGCAGAAGCAACTCCAGGGGCACCTGAGTCCCCTCCCCCTGCGAGCTCTGCGCAGGGGCCAGGTGTGTGTTCAGTCTGGATTCTGAGTCACCTGCTTCCCTTTGTTTCCGTGCTCCAGGCTGGGCTCACACAATGGCAGGAAGTGGCTGTAATGGGGATGGAAAACATTCCTGCTTAAGCCTGCTTTGTGTCTGCAGAGAGAGGGAGAGGGAGAGAGGGAGACTGACTAATGCCTGTTTGAATTACTGGGTTCCCAGTGCACTAAATACTTCCAAGTATAGTCCAGGAATTCTGAAAAGGCAGTGTGAGGTGTGGGTGCTCATAGACATTTGACCCTGTTTCTTCAAGGTCAGAATTCCAGCTCCTTCTCTGAAGGAAGCTACCCTTGAGGTCAGCTATTTGCTTTGCACCCTGGAGCTCTGAGGGGCACCCATTTGAAAGCAATCAAGGGGTGTTCACTGTTGGGTACTGAGTCCCTCACTTCCCTCCCTCTGAAAATGCTAGTTGACTCAGAGATTGGATTGGGCCATCAGTGAGGAACCAGTTCTCCATGACAACCAGCCACCGAGGCCCAGCACCTCCCTAATGACCAGGCTGGGCAGTGGGAGGAGAGGGGAACCAGAAACCAAGTTGCTGCCTTGTTTTCCTGCCATCGCAGAGCAGCCTTGGCTGTACTTCTGGGAGGTGGCAACTGGGAATTGATAAAAAGGGAAGAGAAACCCCTGCTTGGGGCATGAATAGCTGGGCATGGGTTTCAGCTGAGGGATGTAGAGTTGCTAAGCTTCTGTTCCTCCCACAATTCAGTTAAACACCAACACGTGGGGACGGTGGTACATATTTTACTTCTTAATCCTCGAGTGAGGAGTGAGGGTATTTTTTTTTCATTGATTTTTAGAGACTGGAGGGGTTGGGGGAGGGAGAGAGAGAGAGAAACATCTATGTGAGAGGGACACATCGACTGGTTGCCTCCCACATGCACCCCCACCGGGAGCAGGGATGGAACCTGCAACCTGGGTATGTGCCCTTGACTGGGAACTGAACCTGAGACCCTCCGGTGCGCAGGCCGACGCTCTAGCCACTGAGCCACACCGGCCAGGGCAGTGATGCATTTTTTTAAAAAGCCATCTAATGGAAGGCAAAGAAAAATATATAGTTTAATTCTTTTCTTTGGAAGGGACGGCCACCCTGGCGGAAGAGGAACATCGAAGGCAAACAGTACCTCAGCAACATGGGCACAAGGAGCACCTACCTGCTGCCCAGCATGGCGACCTTCGTGACCTCCAACAAGCCCGACCTCCAGGTCACCATCAAGGAAGAGAACTATCCGATGCCTTTCAGCAGCTCCTGGCCCCCGTACCCCGACCACTCCCTGTCGTCCCCCGTGAGCCCCGCACCCAGCAGCAGCCGGCCCGACCGGGAGACCCGGGCCAGCGTCATCAAGAAGACGTCGGATCTCGCCCAGGCCCGCGTCAAGAGCTGTTAAAGCCTCCGACTTCCCCCGGTGGTTGGGATTTCTTGGCTTTGTGTCGCTGTTTGTTTGTATTTTATTTTCCTCTCTGACACCTATTCTAGACAAATCTAAGGGAAAAAGCCTTGACCATAGAACATTGATTGCTGTGTCCAACTCCAGTACTGGAGCTTCTCTTTAACTCAGGACTCCGGCCCATCGGTAGACACGTGTCTCTAGAGCCTGCTGGATCTCCCAGGGCTGCTCCCTCAAGTTCAAGGACGTCATAGGACCAACACCCACATGAGCAGCAGGGTGCTGCTGTGTTGCCTGCGGTCAAGGCCAGCGGTGGAGCGGGTGCCTCGGAACAGAGGAGAAAATGTGAACTAGCTGGAATTTTTTATTCTTGTGAATATGTACATAGGGCAGTAATAGCGACGTGGCCGTCGGCTTCTGCACCTTACGTAAAGCACTTACAGGTAGACCTTCTCGTGCCCTTGCCTCCTTCCCAGCACAGCCCCTTCCCCGCCCGCCCGCTCCTTCCCTCCGGTGCCCCCTCCGAGGCTGTGCTCCACACCCCCAGGAGGAGAGGAAAATGAATTTCTACACAGATGCCCCGTGTTAAGACTGCTTTAAAAAGAGAGAGAGAGTCTTTCTAATCTGCTATGCTTGAATGCCACGCGGTACAAAGGAAAACCATCTTGGAGACCTTATGCAAATCCCCAGATTTGAAGACAAAAAAAAAAAAA